TATCTAGTACCGACATGCCATATCAAGAAAAAGTAAATCAAAACGACAATGCAGGTTTAGAAATGTCACCGTTTTGAAGCAGAACTTGTCGTGCGAGGTCTTATCGTCCCACACCAACAGCAACACCCTCACGCCCTCCTCCGACTTGTACTTCAGCAAATCGCCGAGCGTCAAATTTCCGCCGCGCGGCAGCGGCCGGCTCGGCTCCCGAATCAGCCGCACCTTGTGAAACACCGACCAACCCACAATGTAAATCAAGTGGTGCGCCTCCGAAATCGCATAGCAAATGTCCTCCCACGTATTCTCCTGCTTATACACCTTCCCGCCGTCCAACTGAATCTCCGGCAGCAGCCCCTCCGGGCAGTGCGCGTCTTGGTACAATCGCACGGAGCTTCCCTTCCGGAGCGGGAAATACGTGTGCGGCACGCCCTTGTGTTCCGGATCCCCCGCTATGCCTCGCTTGTACAATGGGTTTTTCTCGAACGGCGTGAACTGCAATTCGACCCGGATCGCCGAGGCGGGTTTCGGGGGCTTCCCGGAAGGTCCGATAATCGGGAACCACCCGGAGATGGGCTCTCCGGTGGCGATTTTCTCGGCTGGGATCTTGGCGGTTCCGATGATCTCGGCGCCGAAGACGTCGTTATCTTTGACCTGAAACTCGAGGTTAGTCACGGGGTGAGCCAGCGGGATAAAGAAGTGCTCCTTCCACTGCGGGTTCTGGGAGTTCTTCATGACACGTGTCCGGGCGACGGTGGTCTGGGGGACGACAACGGTGACGTAGGGGTCGCTGGTTATGATCTTGCGGTGGGGTCCGTGGGGCTTGCGGTCTCGGCCGTCGTCTTCGGCGGAGCGGTTGCAGGATATGTTGATGGTGTCGCAGGCGGTGAAGCAGCGGCGGAAGCGCTCGGAGACTATGTCCATGTTGGGGAGGTGGCGGGCTTCGATGATTGTGAGGTCGAGGTCGCCGTGCAGGTAGGTCACCCGCTCCGACGTCTTTTCGGCCATTTCCGGAGGTCAGTGTACAAAACCGTAATTTCGCGAACCAGATTTGCTGGGTTTGCAGTGGGTGTGAATAGTGACAAAAGCTGGGTTTATGGGGGTTTGGCGTTGCTTATAGGCAGAGAAGGTGGGAGTTGCAAAGGGACCTGATGGCGCCTCGGAGGGATTTGGGGGATTTTTAAAAAATCCCGTGAAAACAGAGTGTGAGTGGGGCCAGGAAGTTACTGTCCGTTACCAAAAAAAATTAAAATAAAATTGGGTTTATATTTCGGGAAAGTTCGAGCAATGACATGAATCTTGAGAGGGGAGGTGTCAATTTTTTTCCGTATTTTCGACATTCCTTTTTTTTCTTTTTTTTTTTTTCTTTTTTTTTTTTATGATAAAAATTTTCGACATTCCTTTTGTCTCGGTCTATTTACACATAATGAATAAAAAAAGTACAATTTTTTACTTAAAAGCCGTACTAGTATGCTATGATTTCATTTCCTTCTCCTATTTTTAATTTTTGATTCTTTTTTTTTCTTCATTTTTGTTAAGTAAACATGCTCTAAAATGTGTATGCAAAATTATTTTCCATTTAGTTATGAGGATGGTGCAAGTAAATGTATTGGAGAATTTAAGCATCAGAGATCCCAATAAAAGTTGAGAATTGCGTCAACTAATCTCATAACTTATCAAATTTATGATTATAGATTTGAAAGTGAGATCGTATTTTTATTTTTTATGCGTTAGTAAACATGAAAGAAGTTAATAATTTGAATAATCAAATCAAAATTTTATAAGAGACCGATAACAAAAACCTTCAAGAAAAAACTCCAATCCTTAAATGACAAAACCTAGCAGCATACCCTTTGACTATGATCTTCGGATCGACATCAATTCATCTTTATCTCTTTCCCTTTTTTCTCTATTTATAGAAATTATCACTCTCTCGTTCTTTCAAAAATAGTTATTGTGGTTATAATCGCTCTCTCGTTTGACTCTGTTCTTGATAAAATTTCTTTTGACGGGAAGAAGAATAGGGGATTCCAAAAATGAGTTGTGGTGTTTGGTGTGCAATAATTGGGTAGGACGCATGGAGTGTGGGTGAGACCCATGAAAATAATTGAGCATGTTCACTTCATATTTTAGGTGAGTTGTGGATCCAACTACTTATACCATCAATCAATACCTACCCATTTTAAAATTAAGCACGAAATCATTGAAAATCTCCGATGATAAATGATGTCAATTCCCAAATGGGATTCTCCAATGTTTATGATGCTTTGGGAACTACATGTTTTCATAATATTATTAAATGCATAGAATCTATGTAGTTTTTATGTGTTACGCACAAAGTAAGAGGTTTGCAAATTAGGGGTGGAGAGATTTCTAAGCATTTAATGATTCCTTTTAAATGAGAGAGGTAGAGAAAATAATATAGAGAAATAGTTACTGTCACATCCCGGCCCGGGGCGAATCACTTCCCAGGCCCATTCCACCACCGTAGCACGATATTGTCCGCTTTGGGCTTACCATTCCCTCACGGTTTTGTTTTTGGGAACTCACGAGCAAAGTGGGTCATCCATCCTAGGAGTGCTCTGGCCTCCTTATCACTTAACTTCGGAGTTCCTACAGAACCCGAAACCAATGAGCTCCCAAAAGGCCTCGTGCTAGGTAGGGATGAGAATATACATTTAAGGATCACTCCCTGGACAATGTGGGATGTTACAATCCACCCCCCCTTAGGGGCCCAACGTCCTCGTCGGCACACTCGCGACCATAGTTTAGGCTCTGATACCATTTGTCACATCCCAGCCTGGGGCGGATCACTTCCCCGGCCCGTTCCACCACCGTAGCACGATATTGTCCGCTTTGGGCTTACCATTCCCTCACGATTTTGTTTTTGGGAACTCACGAGCAACTTCCCAGTGGGTCACCCATCCTGGAAGTGCTCTGGCCTACTTCTCGCTTAACTTCGAAGTTCCTACAGAACCCGAAGCCAGTGAGCTCCCAAAAAGCCTCGTGCTAGGTAGGGATGAAAATATACATTTAAGGATCACTCCCCTGGACGATGTGGGATGTTACAATGACCCGGGCCGGGATGTGACAAATGGTATCAGAGCCAATCCCTGGCCGGAAGTGTGCCGACGAGGACGTCGGGCCCCTAAGGGGGGTGGATTGTAACATCCCACATCGTCCAGGGGAGTGATCATTAAATGTATATTCTCATCCCTACATAGCACGATGCCTTTTGGGAGCTCATTGGCTTCGAGTTCCGTAAGAACTCCGAAGTTAAGCGAGAAGGAGGTCAGAGCACTCCCAGGATGGATGACCCACTGGGAAATTGCTCGTGAGCTCCCAAAAATAAAACCGTGAGGGAATGATAAGTCCAAAACGGACAATATCGTGCTACGATGGTGGAACGAGCCAGGGAAGTGATCTGCCCCATGCCGGGATGTGACAGTTACACTCAAAATTTTATACTAAGAGCGACTATTAAGTTTGCAGCGTATCATCATCTAGTGTTTTTGTCAATGGATGAGTACATTATTATATTAGTCATCTCTAAATTTATTTTCTTATCACGTGACGAAGATAATAAAACACAGTACGCATGCTCGATTGCATGGTAGATTCTCTCCATAGGAGACAGCCATATTTGTGGGGTCATCTCCTAGCAGCTTCCAAGCTAGGTGGTCAGAAATTCAGAATGCAGTCCACAAACTATAGGAGTAGTGTCACATACACTATTTTAATAACTTGTCCCTCCAAAAGCAGAAGCAGAAAGTGGATTAGGTGCTTATTACTTTTGTGCTTAATCCAACTTCCCTAATCCAAACGTGAAAGCATCATTCAAAAGCAGAAAAAAAAAATGCTTATTTTGCTTTACAGCTTCAACCTACCGGCCCACAAATCACAATCAGTCTGGTTGGGAAGTTGTCCCCAGCCTCACACTCGTTATCACAAGCTTTCCACATTTAGCTATATGCCAAGTGCCAACTCAAATTATCCATAGACTTTCATGGACCATGATATTGGTATGCTGTCATCGTGTTGTCATGCGTTAATTATACAACACAATACTGTAGCATTTTTTGCCAATTTTACATGTGATATGAAAGAAAGAAAACTTCACGATAATTGTATACTCGTGTCGTAGAAGTTACTTTTCCAAATATCTATGGTTCCATCATGTTTTCCAAATTTTAGTTTCCAAATGGAGAGAACCCCACATGATTGTGAAGGACGGCTTGCAGATAGTGCCAAAGGGACTGCAACATAGGGTTTGGATGATTTTGGTATCTTTGTAAGAATGAAGTTTAATTATTGTGGGCTTGAAATGTTTCATAACGGGTCGATTTTGGGCCCAAATGAACCACCAAACTAGTCCTACTAGAGAGCCCAAAATGCAAATCTCCAGCGAAAAGGAACATTCATGTAATGAAAAGCGAGTTAACAAATGTTGGACATGAAAATGCAAGTGATTTTGGGTATGAAAGCACTCGAAAGTTTTTTTAGCCTTTTCAATTGCTTCTTTAAAAATCACTTTAAAAAGCATTTGAATTCTTAATGCAAAGTTTAACTTGCTTTTAATTATAAAATCGCTTTCTATAAAAGCACTTATAAACATAAGTGAATCTCTAATTGGTCATTCCAAAAGCGTTCTCAAATTCAACTCATTCAAGTGGTAGTTGTTTGGTTCTCAAGAAAAAAAAGCATTCTAGTTAAAAATCTCAATAGTCATGAAATCATGGTAGAACAATTCATATTTACATAAACCTGAATTAAATCCACAGATACTTAATTTCTATTTCGAAACCTAAGTTTCAAAATATAAACAATGATCGATTCGTGCATATGTGTTTTACGATTGAAGAGGCAAAGGGTGAGAAGAAAAGGTCCTCCATTTCCTCAAAGCAACAGCTTCCTTCTTCACATCCCTATGATCTTCATCTTCTTCTCCCCTTACCTCATGTGTCACGTCATCCTTCTGATCATCACGAACCTCCAGTAACAAATCAATCCGCCAACGTGCTACGACCACTGGCAAACCTCTTCATCTGACCCAAAGAAGGCACCCTTTCTGGAGCTCCATCACGGTTCCTATTTTCGTTACCTTCTTCCGGGAGGGCTACTTCTTTCGGAACCTTGCTCGAAACCCTAGCCGGCTTGTTCTTCACCTCTTTAGGAATACATGAAACTGGAGCAGAACCAGTACTATTTGATTTGCTTTTGTTCTTCTTCTTGCCATGGACTTGCCCCATGCAGGAGACCTTTGGGGAGGTGGGTTCTTTGGAAGCAAAGGTAATTCCACTCCTGGTTTTCCTTCTGGATTCAGGAGGAAATATCCGTATCATCGGACCGGCTGCTTTTCTAGGGCTCGGAGGTGGGCTGTGGAACGTGATCACTGCCGGCTGTGCAGCTTTAGATAGAAACGTTAAAATCTTGCTTCCCATTCGTTTTAATGGTTTCTCCATCGACTTAATTGTTGTGATTCTTGTCTACTTATATATACATATACAGTATATATATGTGTGTATATTTGTATATATAAATTTATGCACGCAGAAATGCCTTTAGGGGCTTTGGGGGAGCCGGAATGGGAATGAGAATGTTGACCTCTTCACAATATCAGATTGTGTGATGGAAAAGCCAAGGGTTTTTGCCGGCAAAAATAAAAAATTTGGGTTGACAATGCATCCTCCACGTGGCAAACAGCAGTGCAATCTCCAAAGTCGAATGTGATTTTTAATTTTGTTATTTTTCAGTTTTCAGTTAGGAGGTTTACATCCACATGTCAAAAGCTTTTGTTTATGACTTAGGATCAACAGCAAATATTTTGACACATATTTTAACAATTTTTTTTTTTTCAAGGGTCATTTAGTAGCTTCGTCAGAGATTATGGGCAATTATTGCTGGTTCACTTTTCCATTCGTGAATATGTACTTGAATTTGATTCCAACAAAAAAGAGAGTCAAAACCAAAACATGTGATCAATATCCATCGCTTTTGCATGTAAACATCAATCTAATACCCAATAATGAGGAATTACCATTCTAGCTAAATGGGCCTAGGAGAAGTTAGGAATCACAATAATTTTACTGTTCATTATATATTAGTTATGTCAGTTAATTAGAGTAATATGTATGTCATCTTCCATCCAAATTCAATCTCTCTTCATAGCTATTTGAAAATATTTCTTGTAGAAAAGCAAGACATAAATTAAACCAACAGCATTTTGTGAGCTTTGTGCGTAACCTCTTGAGTAAAAACTTTCTTTTCATCAATTTGCTCATCTAATTAGGCCCTCGAATTTCCGTGAACGGAAGCTTAATTTCAAGATCGCAGAAAAAACAACACTACGGTATAACAACGTATGTTTGTGGACACTCAAGTTGTAAAGCCTTTGACAAGGTTCATTGGATTGTGTAAGCTTGTGAGTGAAGGCCATGTAATTTTTTTTCCAGGAAGGCCATGTAATGAACATTAAACGGTTAAAGAGTAACATCTCTTCATTTATAGTAGAATATCGTTGTATCAGAAGAAAAAAAATATATCGTTAACTTGATTATAAGTTCAAAACAGTAAAGGATAGCGACGTAGGCAATTCTATAAATCTATAAATTGGTTACAAGTTCAAAACCAGAATTCTCAAAACACTCGTCATCCTCACGCTGATGAAGAGAGGAAAATATCCGACTAGAATGTAAACTTTCGACACTTACAACACATTTCGAGAGGAAAATATTGGACTGATGCCAAGTTTTAGGGCACCGAAAACAGAGAGTTACACATTCCCCCTGCATATCTGAACTGATTAATAGTAAAAACTAGTCCTGGGCATATCCTCGACTATTAACGGGACTGTAATATGTACGGCAAGCTTACATCCCCCAGCGAAGCGGCCAACTTTAACACGGCTTCTCAGTTCCAATTAGTCCATGTTTTCGGATGGTAACAGGCGAGCTGTAGACTTGGACAAAAGAACCATGAATAAAAGCCGATCAAGTATCATTTTAAATCATTTTCATTCTCTAGCTACTTGGGATTGAATATCGACTTGCTTACATGCTTCGTCTCCCTAACCACAATACATGCAATTTCCTTTTTCCGAAACGAAAACAAAGAGGACCACATACAATTTAACTATAACACTGTACTATGAACAGTACCGAGAGCTTTTCGTTAAAGTTCTCGTAAAAAGGAAAATTAATAAAAAGGGCTTGAAAACTTTGAGTTTTAACGATAAAGACAAAATAAAGGGTAAAATGAATAGTACCAGGATTGACTATATGCATACAAATGAATGAGATAAACGAATACGAGTGCTCGAGTCAAAAGCTTAAGGAGGCACTGATGTTCAAGAGACGTGGAAATGTAAATAACTGGTGGAATGAAATTAATCCTGATAACCCAAAGATAAAGGCTTGAAAAAGAAACTAAAATCTCCATTTGAATAAATAGGCACCCACAAGATGAAGGATTCAAATAATATACCTCCACATCATCTACTGGCTAGCAGATGATGGCGAGTAACCGGGTTGACTGGGTGAGTATCCAGCACTTGGACTGCATGGAAATAAAAGTGATGAGAGGAAATTTCACAAGCATTATGGCACATTTAGTGCAATGGCGATCAAAATAGAAATATTCGGAGAAAAACAAAGATTGTTTCACAGTTTACCTATACTGAGGGGAACTCGAGCTATAGTCTAGGCTCACTCCAGAAGTCAATGGGCTGAACAAGAATAAATATTAGAAAAAGAAAAAAAAAATTCAACAAACTTACACATCAGGAAAACCAAGTAGAGTCCCAAAAAACTAAACTGGGCAGGAAAATATAGAACGGTGCAGTCAGAGAGGTGACCAAAGAAAGTAAGTTTACCTGCCGGGACTGTATGTGGGGCTTGAGGGAGAGTAAGATGGAGATGTGGGGGAATATGATGGTGAGGTTGGGCTGCAAAAGAAAAGAAAACATCAATGGTAGGCTACATGAGATTTCCTCAACACAATAATTATAATAATTGGAAAAGACAGAGGCAGCAAAACAGAGAATTAGAAACTGGAGACTAATCAACTGTGAGAGTAATAATCCTACGCATCAGCCCACATACAGCAATTCTAATACCATAAGTGCAGTTCAAAAGATAGCTCACCTGTAGTTCGGAGAGGTAGGACTGTATGGACTAGATGGTGACAATCTTGGACTGCTTGGAGAGTAAGCTGATGACGGACTGTACTTGGCAGACTGAGGATTATAGCTTGGAGATGTAGGGCTGTAACTGGGCGAGGTTGGACTATAACTAGGCGAGGTTGGGCTGTAACCAGGAGAAGTTGGGCTGTAGGCTGGCGAGGTAGGGCTGTAGGATGGAGATGTTGGACTGTAGGAAGGAGAAGTTGGGCTGTAGGAAGGCGAAGTTGGGCTGTAGGATGGCGAAGTTGGGCTGTAGGAAGGAGACGTGGGACTGTAAGATGGCGAAGTGGGGCTATATGCGGGGGAAGTGGGGCTGTAAGCAGGTGAAGTGGGGCTGTAAGCAGGGGAAGTAGGGCTGTAGCTTGGTGAAGTGGGGCTGTAGCTTGGAGAGGTGGGGCTGTAGCTGGGAGAGGTTGGCGAGTATGATGGACTCGTAGGAGAGTAAGCTGGACTGGTGGGACTATAGCCGGAGAACTAGGACTATATGTCGGAGAGGTGGGACTGTACCCAGGAGAAGTGGGGCTATACCCTGGAGAGGTGGGACTGTAGCCAGGAGAAGTGGGGCTGTATCCAGGGGAGGAAGGGCTGTATCCAGGGGATGATGGGCTGTAGCCTGGAGAGGAAGTAGGAGAGAATGCCATTCCTCCAACATAAGGAGAAAACTGAGCATCCGAAATTGGTGACAGCCGAAGATTTGGGCTCAGCAAATAATTAGGGGACATCATGCCCTCGTGATATGGTGTTCCTGACACTGGAGAACGAGATGGTGTCATACCAAAATCAAGACCATCCATGTAACTGGGCAACTGGAGTTCGATGGCGTTCTTCAGCATCTCATCATTGAGATACAGGGCACAATCTCCCGTCCCAATTGGTGCAAGTTGCCCTAACATTATATTTTCTGTCACGCCTCTTAAATAATCCGTCTCTGCAAACACTGCAGCATCAAGAAGAATATCAACAGTCTCTTCAAAGGAGCACCTCATCATAGGACCAGTGTCATTTCTATTAATGCCATGGCGGGTTATTGCCATTAAGTGCCCACGGTACGTCATCGTGTCACAAAGGATAGCGAGATGCCTATAATTAACATAGGACCCATCAAATGATATAACAACCCTCAACTCATCCAACAATGACCGACGAACTGCCTCAATTCCGAGAATTTCCAGAATTTCAATCAAATGATTACTAGTTGTGCGCCTAGCATCAACATCATCATGGCACAGAACAGCCAAGAGATTAACCCCTTCCGTATCCAGCATCCACTCTTGCTCTGCTTTAAACCCTTCATTTGGATCGAACTTATTAACTTTACCATGTTTAATGAACACTTTGTTAATATCTGGGATACCACGAAGAGCCATCTCTGTCAGCATGTTACTCTCAATCTTCTTCAGAAAAACATCATCTTCAGCAGATTCATCAACCATCTCCCCTTTTGGAGCTTCAGCATTCATGATACGGATACGAAGGATCAATTTTTCTGCATTGTCATCATTGAAGATACAAGTTAAATCATCATCAAATTCAAGGTTAATCTTCTCAGCAATGTCAGCCATGCTCAACTTCTTATCCACCATCATTTCGCGATTCAACTCGATGCGAAGCAACCAAGGTGAAATTTTATCAGGATTAACTTCTTCATCTGGCATTTCATAGTAAGCTCTCACAAAATCTATATCCTCATCAATTATTGTGCTTGTGGGTTCTGGATCGTACCATACTTCTGTAGCTTGAGTTACACTTCGTAGAGTGGTGTATTCCAAAGCACACTGCACATTCTTCGCCCTCTCCTTCGTTTTATTAGCTTCAGGCTTTAAGTAGACAGACAGGGATGGCGTTTTGATTCTCTTGGCTACATTAATAATTTCCCTCAACCTGGGGACACCTAGGGTAACATTCTTTGCACTCACACCTGCGTAGTGGAAAGTATTCAGTGTCATCTGAGTGGCAGGTTCTCCAATAGACTGTGCAGCAACGCAGCCAATCATTTCCCCAGGTGCTACAAGCGATTGCAGGAAGCGTGATTCTATCTCCCCAATAACCCATTCAAATGCTTCACGAGTAAGCCTGTACTCATCCAACACCCGTTTGCTTGCAAAAGTGCTGCGAAGTAAAATGTTGAAAAACAATGTTGCGTTCTTCTGTGCTTCGACACTCAACAAGTCATCACCAGGAACAACTTTCAGTCTCTCCTGGAGCTTATCAATAGCTTCCACAATTTCCATCGGGTGCATATCAGAAGTCCTTCGGAAGTCAATCTTAAAGGTTTTTTGTGCA